TTCTGCTAGCAGAAGAAAGCAAGAGATCCACTGGCTGGAAGCCAGAGAAACCTCAGTCTAGAAATACTGTACAATACTTCACTGGATTCCTCCTCATGATGTCTTAATGCAGGGGTTTAGAACAGTTATACTGAAGGAGTAAACCTGATACAGAAGTCAGGGTAAATTCTCCAGTTTTGTTTATTCGCATATAAGACTGGATTGTCTTAACAGATCCTATTGTCTGGAACATCTACCAATTAAAACATTTTTTAGAAACTATTTCCATCTTTGCCATATCATTGAGATTTCCCTCTTCTTTGAAATAAGTTCTGTACTGATGAACTACTGATGATCTTTCTAGTCTCTCTAGTTACCACTATTAGTTCAGTGTTGGGGAATGATTTACTGTTTTAAGCTTAGATATATAGAATCAAGTTTTTACATAGGCCTGTAGGCCACTGAACTCACCACACTATTTTTAGTCTTATTAAAAATGTTTGCATGCGTCATCTCCAGATTAATTCAATTGCATCTAAATTACTCTGTACAAATTATTACCATTCAGAGAAATTGTTAAGAAATAAAAGTTAGTGTTATTGTCATCCACAATCCTTTGAAAGGTTCCTGACAGTTTATTACAGTCATTTATAATTAGCAGTTGTCTCTGATCCTCTTTACCAAATAAGTAATAACATTATTTTGCTCAAGTACATGATCAATTTAGTATGCCATGCAAGAAAGGGTTTTGCAGGTAATTAAAAATGTGCTAGTACTCTTCTCTCATAAATGGTACAACAATGGGCCTTGAGATGCTTACCTTTGGTTTTCTGTGAGTACAACATACGTGACATTTTTAGTTTATATATATGATAACCTAAACCAAAGCAACTCACTTTCAACCAATGAATATGCCTAGTCCGTTGTCCTAGTTAGAACAGCTGGGACCGATTCATCACTGGATGGGTGTAGCCCAAAACTGTGTATTCTATAGCCTTCCATGCCATTTCCCAGAAACTGTTGTCAGTAGAGGCCTGCGAGGTGGGGGATGCTCCTGTCCTCATGCCCTTTTGTGGAATTCCCCACTCTGAGGGAAGGACTGAGCACCCTCATACCCTTTTATGGAATTCCCCGCTCTGAGGGAAGGACTGAGCATTCCTGCCTGAGCTGGAGAATATATAAACCTGGAGTTTCGGAACCTTTCCACCACTCGTGGGATCCAGAGGAGAGGACTGCAGCTCACCGCTCTCAGCAGGACTGAGACCACCACCCTCGGCTGGGCTGCAATCACCACTTTTGACCAGACTGCAGCAGCTCTCCCACCAGCAGGTTTTTCCCCTCTCCCTTTACTTTGGACTCGGGGGGGGGCCCAAGGAACACCACTTTGTTTATGCCCCAGGGTGCTGGGTTATATATTTGGGCTTTGTGGCTTAAAATCAATTGCTTGTCTGTATAATCGTACTTATTGTATTATTTTATTAAATTGTTATTCTGACTTATAATCTCTCTTTTGAGTTGAGTTCATTTCCCCTGCTGGTTAACTTTTAAACCAGCACATCCGTATAAGTGGTCTCACTTACTGGTCATAGAAACTAGGTGTTCTATTTGACCAAGATTATTGCAATTCCTCTGCAGCTTCAAAGAAAAAACACATATTACCCCAATTCCCTTGTAATCAACTCTGTGGACAGACTTACATATTCAGACAAAAAAGTTGAACAAGGTCAACAAGTGCTCACCTGTAGCCTTTTCTGTCCAGCTCAGAAAGGCTTGAATAGGTACCAGAGGTGTTCTTTGTAGCATTAGACATATTTAACAAAAAGAAAGTTAAAAGTAATTGAAAATGTGGTTCAGTTTGCTAACAGCTTTTTTTTTTTAACGGAATGACATAGTTGGAAGGTTTCCTTGAAACCTTGTAAGAAGATTATGTGCAAAGAATTTCTCAATATTTCTCAATATTTATGTCTCTTTAAACTTTATACTAACAAAAGAAATTTTTAACAAACTTTTAATAAAATAAACTTTATTTTAAACCACTGAGACTGCTTAATAACAAGTTCACTGTCACATCATGAGCAAAGCACATAAAAGTGAGGATAATAATGAATAAACATCACAGACATTCAAATGAAATGGTAAATCACTATTATCAAGCACTAAGAAACCAATGTTGTTATGACAAGTTTAACTCTGATCCAGGAATTTATGTGAGAAGAAAATGTAGGCTGTATAGTATATTTTCCTAATTGATACTTTGAAATAGAAAAGAAAATATTAGTTGACATTTGTACCTTCTGACAGTGCTGACAGCTGCATTTCAGCAGAGCATTTGTAATTTCTTTTAGAACATCAGATCACAAAACTAAAGGGAAGATATGGTCAAAATAAAGTTAAGCTTACAATATACTGTTAGGCATGCTGACCAGCACATACTATTTAAAACAGAAGAAATGTTACTGTTATGCTGCACCTGTATGGTTGGAACTAAGGAAATAATTATACTGTCAGCTCTTATGCTCTGCCTATGAATTATCTGTTTATTTGAGTTCAACAAGAACAATGGTTTTGCCGAACATTTAGAACTGCAGTGACTGCTGGGTAACTATTCTTTCCCTTATAGAAAGGCTCACAGCCCAATTTCTGCTACAGAAGAGATGCCTGCTATTGACAAAAGTAGTCCTTCAAAATAATAACTCATGAAGTTACATCAAGTGCATTGGCCTTTCTGGTCTGTTTGTGCTGCAGGTGAAGAATTGGGCATAAAACAATTGTTTTACAGAGTTCCCTTTGGTGAGGGAAATTTGGTGTAATGTCACACTATAGCTTTTGGGGCAGCCCCTTAAAATCATAAACTCTCGGTTCAGCTCAAGTTCCAGTATCCTTGCTTAGGCTTTAGCTCCATTCCTAACAGCTGAAACAACTTTACTCACACTCAGCACAAAGCACTTTGTGTATAAATGCGTACTAAAAGCACTGCAATTTGCAATCTTTTAAAAGTATGTGTTGAAAAGGTGGGCTGGCTCCTGTAAGATGTTTTTAGAAAAACAGTCAGAACTGGTGCAACCTGGTCTATTCTTGAGAAAAGCATTACTACTGTAATAGTTTTAGTTTGAACTTCAAGGAAAATCTTGGGCTGAAACTACAGAGAGGCATTCAAAGAAGCAGAAAAATAGTATTTCCATCCTACTTTGTGGCAGACTATTAAAGGGCACCAGAGGTCTCTGCAAACACCCTGAGCTGACATGCATTACACACCAGAGAATAATGATCTGCAAAACATATCCATTTGTTGTCACTTAAAACAAAAAAAGAGGGGGGGGAAGATAAATCTTTCAAACACCATTTTTCCATGTAGTCTCTGAATGAAAAGCAAGGCTGAAAATAGTTGATTAAAATACATGGATATTTATACCAAAGGTTCCATTTTATTTGAGATGTCCTGTAATACAGAATAAAATAATGCATGTAAGTTATGTCTTTTCCTCACTGAAGACTTCTTATCAACTTATTTATAAATACTAATGTTACCTCTTTTTCTCACTGAGGACTTCTTATCGACTTATGTATAAATACTAATGTTAATGAGATGCATATATACATAACCTAGTCCTGTAATCCAAACCACACTTTGACAAACAAAGAAAAATAATTTTTTTTAGCTAGTCCTCCTCCTTTGTAACTAAGTTTTTGAACTGATAAATTAGCCTGCATATTCTTTTCTCTGAAACCACTTGATAATTTCTTTCATACCTGAGGTAAACTATGATCATTAAGAAACATCTTGAAGATGCACAGCTGCACTGGTATAATTTTCATCAGTGCCTTTGAAAAATATTTCCATAATATACCAAGATTTTAAGACACAGATAAATAAAGTATAATAAGTGGTGGTTTTAACTAGGATAACACAACAGCCTTCTGAGGATGAGAGGTGTCATGAGATCAACATACAGACTGATAAATCATCATTCAGTCTGGAGAAGTGGTCTAGAGTCTGATAGACTTTAAAAAATGTTTAATGGATTTTTTTCCCTTTTTTTCTTTTCTTTTTTTTTCCCCCCAGCCTTTACACTACACATTTCTATATCCTCTTAGAATGATAATTTGGTCTATCTTAAAAAGAAAAAACCACTGGCCAACAGTCAAATACCCTTTCAGTGCTGCTTTGTGATTTTTATGAGAGTGTAACCTGTGGAATGGTTCCCATTAGTTCTGAATGATTAATGGAGCTGAATGACCAGATTCCTTTTCGTTAACTTGTTATGGGTACTAATAAGACGTACACAGCTGTACCAAACTGTTGTTTCTTCAGAGCCCTTCAGCTCAATACTCTAACTCCCTTAAAATGTACGTTTCCAAGTTCTGAGACTTGAGCAGCTGCCCTTGCCCCATCCCACGCGTGAGCCCGATCGCACTCCCGAGAGGTGCAGAGGCAGGAGCCGGTGCCGTGCGGGATGTCCCGCTGCGCGGCCAGCACACCGAGAAGGTGCCAATGCCGAGAGCAGTGCCCCCGCACCACCCGCGGAAGGCGCGGGCAGCGCCGCGGTCCCTCGCGGGGCGCACTCGCGCCCCATGTCCCCGCATCCCCGGCGGGCACGGGCGGCACCGCTGCACGGAGCTCGCTGCGCTCCAGGCGGGGGGCTCCCCCCGCCCGCCGCCCCGGGCCGCCCCCGGCACGGCACGGCACGGCCCCGCCGCCCTCTCTGGCGTGGCGGGGACGCGCTTTTCCCAGCACTGAGCCGATCCTGGACTCAGCATCCAGCCCAGCGAACAAGTGGGATGCGGCTGAACTTTTACTTTGCCGGTGCCGGCTCCCCCCGCAGCCGCCCGTGGGAGCCACAGCGGCAGCATCGGCACCTTTTCCGTTGAAGTTTCGCGGCGCAGCACACGCCGCCTCCCCTGCCCTTGCCCCTGCCCCCGCCGCCAGCCCGCCCGACGTCCCCCGAGCTCAGCCCAGGGGGCGAAGCGCCGGTAGCCGAGCACCGGCGGGAGGCAGGCGCGGGGCTTCCCGCCGTACTCACCCGCTCCCCAGCCGCACGGTCAGCAGCAGCAGCAGCAACCGGGCCCCGCGGCGACGGCTCCAGCAGGGCGTGGGGCCCCCCCATGCATCCATGAGCGTGAAGGAGCTCTCCCTTCCCCGGGTTTTCTCCGGAGAGGCTGAGGAAGAGCGACCCTGCTAATCCCACCACCCCCCGGCACACGGCAGGCAGAGGGAGGGGACGGGAAGGGTGAAACACCCAAACAGGTAGAAACCCACTCTCCAAGGACCGAGCAACTCGCCCAATAGGCTCATCAGGTTGCTCCATAAATTATCCTAAAAACTGCTGGGCGAATCAATCCCTAGCAGAGGTGGAGCCTCCTTTACTAGAAGGGAAACATGCTTGGGAGAAAGGGTGGCATTGATTTGGTATTTTCTCCGAAGAGGGAAATGAAATAGACCATATATATATATATATATATATGCATATATATATATATGCATATATGTATATATGCATATATAAATATGCAGAATATATAGAATGATAAATATATGTTTAAAGCTATATATATATTTATTTTTTTAAAATCTTTTTATTTTTAAAGCTACTCCGAGAGCGGCTCGCAATCCGAGAGTCAGCCCCTCGGCCCTGCCAAGCGGAAACCCGCAGCGGGGAGCAGAAACACCGGGGGATGTGCGCGGACACCCGCGGAGACTGCACGGCCCCGCGTCCGGCACGACCGCGATTTTGGGGAGGGCGGTCCCAGCCATGGGGAAGGGAAGATCCGCCAGCCTCTCGTTCGTCCCCAGGAGAAGGGGCACACCCCTCCAGCCGCGGTGCCTGCGGCCATGCTGAAAGCAGGCGGCGTGATGGGCGCGCAAGGGCAGCCGCGGGAATTGCGCGCTCCCAAGGCGCGATAGGTGCAGGCTCGGCGGCTGCAGACGGCTCTGCGTGGCCGCGGAACGCCCGGGGGGGACGAGGCGCGGGGTGGGCGATGCGCGGTGCTGAGCTGTGACGTGCGCCAGGGCGTGAAAAACGCGTGGTTTTGGAGTTTTTTCCCTTCTGGTTTCCTCCTTCCTCCTCCTCGGCTGCTCCCTCTTTCTGCCTCTCTCAGGAGACGTACGCGGCAAAGTAGCCAAACACACCCCGCCAGCTACCCCTCTCCCGAACACCGCAGGGAAAGCACCGCGGTGGCGGAGGCGACCGGAGGTTCCGCGCTCGCAGCCTCTACCTCTGCCGTGGGGACAGGCGGTCACGTCCCGACGGCACCAGAGCTTAGATAACGCGTTATGTCTTCTCTCGTCTTCAGGGTCGGATGGTCCCTGAATCTCTCCCCAGCCCAAATTCCCGGCCCCTGAGATGCCCCTGCTCGGAGCTCTCTATGGGGCGCTTCTGGAGTAATCTACATAACATGTTCTCAGCCCAAGGGCAAACCGTTTTATAGCCATCATCATCATCATACTCCTTCGAGTCAAGTTGTCACTGCACAGAAATGTAAATAACCCCCCATCCGGTAGTTATGCCGATGAAAGGCAGTGTTTTGTCTTTACACATCATCATCCGGTTATTATTTTATATGTAAGTTTACAGCTGCTTTAATGGTTAAAGAAACTCACCACGCTTCAGAGAGCTGCAGTACATTAAGTGAAAATTCAACGACTTGAAAATTAATAGCCAGTCCTGTGGGTATTGGCAGACGGTAAAGGCACATATTATTGTATGACCTGAGGTCTCTTTACTGGTGGATTAACACAGCAGGCAGCATCCTAGCATGATGGCAGAGGCATGAGCTCAGAGGAAAGCATATGCATTTATTACAGAGTAAGTGCAAAAGCAGCTCCTCTGCTGCAGGTGGTGGCACTAGCTCCAAGGAGCAGGATTACTGTCCCCCTCAGCAAGACCATAAGCACAGCCTGTCCCCAAGTCCCTTTCTCTCTGGGAAGTCCTTCTGCCCTGAAAGTAGCCATGGCTCTAAGGTTTATTATGGATTGATCTGTCAAACTGACCGCATTTTGCAAAATATGCAATGAATGCTTCTATGTCTTTGCATCTGATGTTTATGGAATCATTAAAACTCTTTACCAGTCTATAAAATTTCATCCTGTCACTAAAAGATATTATGCAATTAAAGTGACTACTGAGAAAATTTTACATAAGAAGTTTAAGTGTACTTACAGGATTCCAAGGCATCTTCCTTCTACGTGAGCAGTTTGGAGCATCTATTTAAAAACTTAATGTCACTCCTGTGTAGATACAGCAGCTTGCTACCACTGAAAGAGATGGGAGACTACGGCTAAAACAATACATAGCATGAATAGTGAGAAAATGAAAGTTTTCATTTGATTTCTGGGTTCAGAATGCTAAGACACATAAAAATACTATTAAAATAAAATTAAAATGAAAACAGCACCAATGAGATTTCTCAAATGATACAAGACTAAGGATGACATCAGGACAAGCCGTTTTCATATAGTCCCAAATCTGAATTTTCCTTGTACTTTAACGTAAAGAATAGAAATCCATCCCTTTCAAAATTACAAGAAATTATTCCTTGAGTAAGTAAAACACTAGATGAAAAATAGGTATAGAAGTTTTGAAAAGCAAACAGGGAACAAAAAATAATAAAAAATCTTTAACTACCAGAAGAAAACTTGAGGGAAAAGTCAACTCAATCAACTCAGATTGTCTGTATTTTTAAGAAAAATAAAACAAGTAATAAATCAAAACTGCGAAATGGAAAAGAATATCAAAGAAAAGCTGGGAAAATTACCTAGTTTAGTGTCTAGAAGAAGGAGATGCTCATACATGGTAATACACTGAAGGACAGCGAGTTAGTTATTAAGGCTTGCTGATATTTCTCAGCTGCTTGCTGAGTACAGTACTGGCACAGCTAGCCTAAAAACAGTATTTAAATTCTCAGTTAAAAACACCTTCTGCTGCTGAGAGTAATAAGGCTGTTTTAAAAAAGAAAAAAAAAGGCCAGAGGTGAAGAAAGGAGTCAATAGTATCATTTTGAACCTGCTAGACATCACTTCAGAAACAGCAAAGTGACCAAGGTTAAGCAAAACTGTAGAATTCAAATCACTATTATTACTAAGTTTGGTTTCTGCTAAGGAAAACCACTGTCTCCGTCTTCTTCAGTCGCGTTTAACGAGTATATGAATAGAAGAACAGGGCTTCATAATTCACTGTCTTTCAAAACCATTTTAAGTCTATCAGTTATTTTTTAAAAGAGCTGCATAGTTCTGGGGTGACTAGGAAAGTAATGCCGTCTTTCAGAAACTGTTTGAGACTACTGTCAGAGTGATTAACTTTCCATGTTAAAAACATGAATCTTGAGTTCTTATGAATCTGCTCTTGAGCTTATCTCATTTAGCTGATTCCTTACTGAAGTAATGGTTTCAAAGAGAAGAAATAGAAAAAATTTACAGATGAAAGTTTCAGTTTGGTTAAGTCTATAGAAAAAGTAGTGAATATTGATTAATTCATCACAGTGTAGAATATCAGTTATAAAATAGGAAGTGGTGGCATACTGACAAATGGAAAAAGAAAAATAATCCAAAGCTTGAATTTGGTAAAGATTTTAAGTATTTAGATGTAAAATCAAATCTTAACTTTCAGCTTTGCTGCTACCTCATAGTGGAAGATACAGAGAAAACATATATACACTTAACAAATTTCTTTAGAAACTGTAGAGCCACATCCATACAAACACCAAAAGAGCCCTAGTTTGAGCAGCTCAGCACCTAAATTCTGCCCAAGCTCATCAGAAATCTTTCTAACCTCCAGGTTTGAGGAGTGCAAGATAACAGGATTAATTCCATGTAAAAGACCTCTAAAACCCAGCCAGGATGTATCACCTGTTCCCTAACTTCTTAAAAGTGTAATTATTGACTTGGATTCCATAGAAATACACCTAACCCTCAGGCACTGTAAGAGAAGCAAAGGCATTTAGCACAAGTTCTTGATTTCCAGTCTGGAAGCCACCTATTCAACCTCAATTACCTACAATTTGTAATTCATCTAAAAGGGTATGTGAAAAAATTTTCATACTTAAAGCTGAAGTCCACATAGAAAGAAGAGGAAAAAATCCTCCACATTAATATATAAATAGCTAATATCACTGTATTTTTCACCTGGGAGCCTTCACACTTAGTATCAAAGAGCATTTTGATTCTCCAAAATATGATTTTTCAAGATCACTGAGGAACCCAAAACCACTCATATGTAATTTTCCGTAGCTGACATCATAATTTATTCTATTTCTCTTGAATATAGCTACTTCCCTGACAGGGATATATGAGACTTGATGTAGGATTTGTGTGCCTGCCTACCATTTTGAGCACATAAGAGCTTTGAAAACCTGGCCTTAGTGGATGGTCCATCTTCATTCACTGTGCTTGAGGGAAGTTGATGGCTCTCACATAGTTCTTTAGGGAGCCCTTACCCTGCTGAGGGCGAAGTTATCGAATGCGTGGAGAGGGAAGAAGAAATTATCATAGTGTTCTGTTCTCCACCAAAAAAAGCATATAGAACAGCAAGAACTGAAGGACCATTTCAGTCACATCTTCAAAAGGGTAGATTTACATAACAATATTTTGGTGAAATTGCAAATGTAGACCTTAACTGTGCATTCACAAAGCAATTTACCTCACCCCCTAGATTTATAGAATCATAAGATAGTTTGGGTTGGAAGGGCCCACTAAATGTCATCTAGCCCATTCCCCCTCCCATGGGCAGGAACTTCTTCAAAAAGAATGCACGTCATTTGTGCATTGGAGTAAGCACAAACATAAGTGCAGAGTCAGATGCATGGTATTTAAAACCTGCAGCCCAAATGAAAACATTTCCATTCTTCTTAGGGCAATTCAGAAAAAGTGGTTTTAAATATGCATAATTATACTTAATCCTATGTGAATATTTACTCTGATAAAATTCAAGAAAGCTGTCTTAAACAGCATAGTAGCCTACTGTCACAACAGATGTAAAAAACGTCTCAAGAAGAAAGAAAATTAATGCAAACACTTTGGCACTGGCCTTTTAGAATGGGCCTTTAAATTTGAGGATGGTGGATATCCAAGGAGAACAGAAAGATGAAGAAATATAACTTCAGTGAAGCATTTATATTGTGATTAAACCCACAAAATAATTGCTTTCAGTGAAACAGTCAACATCTTAATAGAAAATAAATTATGAAACTCTCACTTCCCATAACTAAACATCATTTTAATTAAGATTTCATCTATGATACATTGATTTAACTGCTCACTCACGTTACTCATTAAAATGATTACTAACAGTACAGCTTTAGCTGAACTTAAAAATTAAGCGAGAGAAGTAATCTCAAGACAATGGATGAAGAAAGAAGACTGCACCCCTCTTTGCATCCAGGGGAAGGGGGATTGTTACAGCATATAAGATGATATTCCTTTACATTTAGCATGTTACCCTTCCTCTCCACTTAAGCTATGATGAAGCAAAAAACAAATTGAAGTGTAGACAGATCTATGGTAACTAGGCTGAAGTGCTTAGGTACAGAAAGATAATTTCAAATCACAAACATTTCCTTGGCTCATTACTATTGTCATTGCCTTTCACTAGACCTTCAAATATTTTCAACAAGAGCCAGAAAAAAGCAAATTTTGATATTTCCTGTGTTACTGGGCATAAATCCACAGTCCCTAATACTTCTTCTCCCTAACAGCACAATTTTGTCTTTGCCTCTCCCTCACCTGACAGACAATTTCCCAGAAAAGAGAATCCAGGACCCCGGATTTCTCAGGAGTCTGAATTTTCCTCTGTGAAGTCACATCTTTGAAGGCAGTGGCCTTTCTTACCGACTATGGTGACCAGCAAGGAGTACTTCCCAGTGTGAGGCATGAGTGTGCTGCAGACAAGGCAAAGAGTCTTACAGGGGACTGGGGCACCAAGGTGCACTCTAGTTCATTTAGGAAGTTAAGTCTAGCTTGGATTACCCCAATGCCATGGGCAGGAGATGAACACCATTCAAACTCTTTTCCAGTCTGTGCTCTATTTCCCCTGTCAAGGAAGTGACACGGTTCAACCCAGTGTACCTCAATGGCACAAATGTACAAAGAGTACGTGGTATACATTGGCACTTCAGTTCAAATGAGGAACTTCAATTCAAAAGTGAGCCTTGGAGTACATGAAGATGACTGCAGCATCTTTTTGGATGTGCTTTCCAGGACAGTTGGAACATACTCTGCTCCAGCACTAGTGGTCTTCAGTCTATGGAACTAGATCGGTACTAGTCTAAAGTAAATCCCCTCCAAACCACACTTACTGTGGGTGTGGGGTTCTCAGTACCAACTGATTGTCTCTGAAGACCTGCTTCCATTTCACTGCAGTATTTGCCAGTGTAGCCAAAGCCACAATGATTATTTAGAGAACTAGGACCTTGGCATGAATTATGGCGAAATGGCCCGCCAATGTATGTGTTCCCATACTTTGAAATCATATAGCAAAGAAATCTTCTCTTTTTGTTGATTCCTTTTGTCTTCAGGTAGGATGAAAATTCCCTTCAAATGGCAAGAATAAGAATCACTTCACAGCTTATAGAATACTCTCAGGAGAATACTATTTGATTATGTGTCTGGTCTTATCTTGTTAGAGGCTACCAGGGCAGCTGTTCTACCTGACTATTGTGAGCACTTACAGTTCCAGTCAGATCAGGAGGACAAAGACATGTGAAAAAGAAAAATAATGGGGCAGGCAAATGTGGTCTGTACTTTTTCCAGTTTCAAAAAGATTCAGTTGATACTTGGCTCAGCCTTTGTTGAAAGTTGAAAGTGGCCTTTCAGTACACCCTATCCTGACTAGTCCTCCTTAGAATATAAGAAGTTTTTTAATCTGCAAAGCACAAGAGATAAAAAGGTCTCATCATAAGACTGGTTTGTCTGAAAATTGAAAAATGTTTTCTCCAGAATGCTAATTTAAATTGTTGGTAGCAGAATCCCATAGCAAATCTAAAAGAAAAGGTGATATAATGCTGTCCAGAACATTAACACTCTCCAATATATTATGTCACTTACTGAACTTCCATAATTGTTATTAATTGACCTCTAGACCTCTCAATTGTAACAAAAGCTTCAGATATTTAGAGATTGCTTTTTGGTATATTAGATTGTATTTTGCTGCCTTTTATAGAGGGCATATATTCTCTGAAGTTGCACTAAATATGTCCCTTACTTTTGCATCTCCATCTTTCTTCTTAAGGTTCCTTTTCCATCTTCCAGTTATTGGTTACTATACAGCACTTTAAGAAACAAATGTTTAATTCCTATATTGAATACATTACCATCAGCAGTAACTCCTGTGCTTACTAGAGAAATAAGCAGAGATCTGGATGAGCTTCAAATTAGGTTAATTGTTATTGTTCTGCTGTGCCTTTTGCAACCGGTCATACCTGTCTCGTACTGGCCGTTTTAGCCACCAACGTGCTTGCAACAAACGTGGTGAGAGCCCTTCCCAGATCTTTGTTCGTGAAGCCCAGCCATGATGATGATGATATTCACTACATAATCAAATAGAACTGACCTACAATATAGCTTGGTGTAAACCCAGCAGTCAGGTCAATAGATTTATTTGGAATGGTAGGAATACGTCAAAATACTTCATGTAAAACCAGCATTGCTTCCAGGTTTAATTATTGAGAGAAAAAGGAAAAAAACCCTATCTTCCTAAGTAGTCTGCTATGAAGGTCCTCACTAGATTGTGCAAAGAATATGCAGTTAATTGCCAAAAATCATTTGTTGATGACATCAAACTTTTCAACATTTAGCAACACTGAGATAGCATGGAGGTTAAAGAATACAGGCATATTCCACTGTGCCATAACGCAGAGGTCTGCCAATATTTTAAAAATGTACTTTGTGGTATGTTTTCAAAACTACTTCATTGCATCATCAATATGAAAGTGCTTTGATTTCTTTTTTAAACATAGAAGAGAAACAAAAAAGAATATTTTTCTCTCTCAAACAATACCAGAAAGTAGGACTAGAGGACCCTTAGTCTTAGATCTGTTGCTCCTAGACAAACTATTTTTTCTGCAGTTGTTTTAATCACCAACTTGGATATTCTAACATTTGCATATAATGAAAATTCATCATTCTAGCATGAAAAAAAATGTTGCTGTGCGGAGATAATTCTGGTGAATAACATAGAAATCAACTATTTTGTAAAGTGGAAGAATTATGGTTTATCATGTGCTCTCAGGAAGTCCATTACCAGTTATGATTATCAATATCAATTCACCCTTTTGATTGGAGACTGATGAAACAGCTGCTTTGGTTTGTATCATTGATAATTATTATTCTTAAGAATGATCCTTCTATGTAGTAATTCAACCATTTTCTTGAAAGTATCTCCTAAAATAATACCACTGACAAGACTGGCGATACTCATGTTATCTTCTGCTTCAGCTGTGTTGCAAATGATACTCTGTATGTCAGAGTCTTTGATTTCCCTAATAGCTGTTGAAAGTATTGCATGTTTTTGTGAAGCTTCACCTCAGTTGCCACACTGTATTAACCATGAAAAACAGATTCTTTATTTAGTCTTGAAAAAAATCATTATAATTTAATCTGATTTAATAAAATGTAATTTAATTCTCTAATCTATTTTGTTTCATATCTCATTTACTTGAAAATATTTCTACTAAACTACTAATCCTTGTATGCCGTTTCATACTCATTAGCTCCTAGCAAAACACTGTCCACCCAGAGGCTCACCTTTCGTTTTTAGGAAGTGTCTCAAAGGTTGCTGTATGTTAATAGCTGTCAGTCTCAGTGTGCCACAGGCTTATGGCAGGTGTTGAGTAGAAGCTACCATTCATGCAGAATTTTGCAGTGTCCCGTAGCTGAGGAATTTCCACCATCTATGTTCCACAGCTCTTTATCATAGCGTGTAGTTTTGGGCCCCATGGTATAAAAGAGACAAGCTATTAGACAGCATCCAAAGGAGGGCAACGAGGATGGTGAAGGGACTGGCTGCCAAGTTTTCCTGGCAAATGCTGTGAGAGACAGTATCAAAGGCTTTGTTGAAGTACAGGTAGATGACATCCACAGCCTTTTCCTCATCCACTAGGTGGATCATCTGGTCATAAAAAGAAATAAGGTTGGTTAAGCGGGACTTGTCTTTTGTAAACTCATACTGGCTGGGCCTGATACCCTGGCTGTCATGTACATGCCATGTGATCGCACTCAAGATGATCTGTTCCATAACCTTCCCTGGCACCAAGACCAGACTGACAGACCTGTAGTTCCCTATATCCTCCTTCTGACCCTTCTTGTAGATTGGCATCACCCTGGCTAACCTCTAGTTGTCTGGGACCTCTCTGTTTAGCCAGGACTGACAAAAAATGTCAGAGAGTGGCCTGGCAAGCTTTTCCACCAGTGCCCTCAGTACCCTCAGGTAAATCCCATCCAGCCCCATAGACTTGTGGATGTCTGGGTGGCACACCAGGTCACTAACTACTTCCTCCTGGATTTCAGGGAGTCTATTCTTCTCTTTTTCCCTGTTACCAGCCTAGGGAGCTGGTTTCCCTCAGCATAACTGGTCTTTCTGTTAAAGACTGAGGCAAAGAAGGCATTAAGTAACTCAGTCTGTCCTCATCCTTGGTAACAATGTTCCACCCTACATCCAATAGAGGATAGAGATTTTCCTTGGCCCTCCTTTTGTTGTTAATGTATTTATAAAAACACTTTTTATTATCTTTCACAGCAGTAGCCAGATTGAGTTCTAGCTGAGCTTTTGCCTTTCTAATTTTCTTTCTACACGACCTAACAACATCCTTGTACTCTTCCTGAGTTGCTTGCCCCCTCTTCTGAAGGTCATAAACTCTATTTCTTTTTTCCTGAATTCAAATGAAAGCTCTCTGTTCAGACAGGCCAGTTTTATTCCCCAGCAGTTTATCTTTTGGCACATGGGAATGGCCTTCTCCTGTGCCTTTAAGATTTCCTTCTGAAAGTATGTTCAGCCTTCCTGGACCCGTTTGTTGTTAAGGACTGTTTCCAAAGGGACTCTCTGAATCAGTGTCCTGAACAGGCCCTCCAGTGACTGCCCTCTGGAAGTCCAAGGCAGAGGTTTTGTTGACCTGCTCCCTTACTTCACCAAGAATTGAGAAGTCTATCATTTTGTGGTCATTCTGCCCAAGACAGCCTCTGACCACCACATCTCCCACCAGCCCTTCTCTGTAAACAGCAGGTCTAGCAGGGCATCTCCCCTGGTAAGCTTGTTTACTAGTTGTGTCAGGAAGTTACCTTCCACACACTCCAGGAACCTCCTAGGCTGCCTCCTCTCCTCTATGTTGACTTTCCAGAAGACATCCAGCAAGTTGAAGTCTCCCACAAGAGCACAGGCTAGGCACCATGAAACATCAGCCAGCAGCTCATAGAATACTTCACCTGCCTCTTCATCCTGCCTGGGTGGTTTATAATGGACTCCCACCAGGACATCTGCCTTGTTGGCTATCCCTTGAGTCTTTCCCATAAACACTCAAGTCTGTCATCACCACAATTCTGCCCTAGAAAATTAAGACACTCCCTAACATATAGGGTAACCCACTGCCTCTCCTTCCCTTCCTGTCCCTTATGAAGAGGATGTAGCCATGCATTGCAGCACTCCACCATGTTTCCAGCATGGCAACTACCTCCTATCTTTCCTGCTGCCAGTGGTTTCCAGCTCCTCCTGTTTGTTACCCATATTGTGTTCATTGGTGCAGACACACTTCAGCCGCATGTTGATCAGATGTGTTTTCCTGTTCCTAAGCTTCTAGTCATAGATCAATATGCCCAACTAACTGTACCTATCACTTCTCTGAAGGTGAGTAGGCTTTTCCCACTTTCATCATACGCATGCCTGTGGCTACTTTTCCTCTTCTCTGGAAGCAACTCAAAAAATCACCTTAATAGCTACAAGTACAACCATAGTAACAGACAGCGTGTTACCCTTTGAATGTTTTTCACCATATCAAATAGACAAACTAAACCAAAATATTAAACCTTTTCTGTGACATCTTAGGTCTATGTGACAAAGTTGTTTCCAAGTTGAGTCAGAAGGCTTTCTGTCCTCACCATAAAGTGCCTGTTTAGTTCTTTGTTTTCACTGGACTGGGTGCTTCTTTACCCATAGCAAGATGTCTTTCCTCTTTCTTATCAGAAACAAATATCTGTAGACAGACAGTAGATCACAGCCTCTCTACAGCAGAGATAGGTGTGCACAAGCTAAGTAGAGTAGTTATGTTTCCTTCTGCTGTTTCCAGTTTTAGTCCTTTATTCTTGGCTACAGAGGAATTTATAGCCCTCATCCCTCTAAAGAATTGTGACTTTCCAATAGTTTCTAGTCTTATTTTAAATTTCACATTCCTGCTTTTGAGGGGGAGCCCCAATTGTTGCTTACACTTGCAAGCCTGGAATCTTACGTTGCATGTAAAATCTCCATCCTTATCCCCATATAGCTCTACCACCTAGGATAGCAGAAACACATCTGTTCTGTCAATTTTTGTCTTTTCTGAGAGAAAAAAAAAAAACTGGGATCGTGTATTAGTGTGAAATAGCTGGAGAAAGCATACAAGCTTTCAAGTACATGATGTCTTCACCAAGTCTGAAAAAATTCTGAAAATTCCAAGCAAAGCAGAGATCAAGTGCAGTTGCTTTGGATTTACCGTAGTTGTGTTTGTCAAATAGACAAGTTGAAAGCAAAGAGCACTTAGCACTTGTTCAACAAAGAACTACATGAGGTATGAGATGAGGTAGATTGGCTTAATGATCCATTTGCAATGTGGTCCTAAATCATAATTTTACATTTAAGTAGCTCACTGAGTATTTGGTTTCTTGACTAAGAATTGATGGTTGGTACCTGAAAGTCTAAAGAAGGGTTGATGTTTCTGATCAGATTTCTCAGAGTACCAGGGAGTGTACCACATTGTCCAACACTACTTTTCCATCAAATGCTATAAGTCTTAGTGCCTTTTAATGCCTTTAAATCTGTCAATGAATCTTTTTCAACTCCTTACCAAATTTATTCAAATACTCTTTTCTAAAATCAGCTCAAACTCTTCTACACTGAAGATCTTCCACCAATACAGCTCTTAGAAGTTTGTTTCCCAGTTCTCCCTCTTCTCTGCAACAAGTTTTACTCCTTCCCAGAATTCTTCCTTGTAACTGGTATGTTTTATTTTTTAAAGTCTTTTTTCTAATGGAATCAGTCCACAGTTTTCAGTAAGAAACTCCAAATCACTTTTCAAATATGTAACTGTCAAAATGTCTGATCTTGAATGGGAAAGGACTTGATAATAGGCATATTGGATTGCCCTCATTCTGTGTTACTAACCTGCTTAAGGTGGTGTAAATACCTCTGCTAAACATAAATGGATTTTAAACAATTGTTAAGTTTATGACCAGAATTCAATCACTTTTATAATAGCAATAAGCTGAAATCAATGAGTTAGGAATAGCATCCCAGAACTACCTACCAATGAATTTTGCATATGCAATGCACTCGAACAGAATTACTCCACGGTGAATCCTACACAGCTTTTGACAATGTGCAAAGTGCACTAAGGATTTGAGTTCAACTGTTCAAAACTGCTCTTAGCTCTAAAAGCTACTAACTCATACTGACAAGTTAAAAACATTCTATAAACTTTTTAAAATAGCTACTCCATTTCTAGTGACCAAAATTCCTTCTCTGGTAAACCACTTTCAGTAACAGTGATACTGGCATAACTAATAGGTATTAACAGCAAGTTGTTACCAAAATATATCAGTATACAAATAGATGTTCTTGTAGAGCATTCTTTTTTTGTGGCATGAACCCTTGAATTACCCTTGAATGGGACTGTATGCTTGACTGGATTGTACTAATATAACGTTAGTTACTTTATTGGGAAAGAACAGTTCCAAGGCATTTGAAGGAAAACAGGGGTCTCCAAAAATTCAAGCACATGATTCAGAATGGGCTTTGAAAGTGCAAGAGCAGGATGGCATCAGAAGCCTTAAGGCCATAGACCAGGGTAGTACTGGATACAGTGGTGACAAAGACAGCAAAAGTCAAGTATCCATCACATGGAGAATACACTATATATACTAAAAGCCGATGCTAACGTGGAATTTGCAAACCATTGAAGAAAGAGCAAATAAGTTTGTTAGTAAACATATAAAAATAATACCAAGTGAAACCAGAAATGAGAAGGAAGAAGTCCTACTATAACCACCATTTTCCTGTCAGTGAAGCACCTGAGATGCTGGATCCATGGTACAACTCTGCTCCCCTATTATATTCTGCTTAAGGAACAGTAACACTATTTATCTACTGACCCAGAATAATAAAGATGAGTGTAAAAGAAACAGGGATAGATACTAGGAAATCTGTGTTCAATAATTGTATTATAAATGAAAATTTGCTGTGATTAGGTAATTTCAAGTGTATGAGCTAGCATCCTTGTAACTAAATTAGTAATACAATTTTGATTAAATTTCTAATACCTTAATTGGACTAACAATAAATTCCTGAGTTTGTATAAGGTGTGTTTCTTTAGCCCACATGCACTGCACAGTGCATTTGCTTTGACGTCTTACCCTTGATTGTAATTTGGATGTACTGCTCTTTAAAGTTATCAGGCATCATTTATTCTTTTGCCTCTTAACACATACATCTAATGTATTGATAGACAAATTAATAGGATAGCTTTTCTTTTAATGAAAAGCTGTGCATATACGAGGGCCTAGTGAGTAGGTGTGTTTCGTCACCTTTGATGCTGCAACAATCAAAACGAGAACAGTAGCAACTTGGTGAAAAGGCTGCCATGGCTGCCCACAAGCCCCTGATGCTCTGGAAAGAAGCAAGGATAGCAGGGCTAAGAGCACACTCCTTCATAGCAAGGGAGGTCCACAAGCCTTCACAGCATTAGCTAGCTGCAGTCACTGAGTGGTGCTTCCTAAATCACATGAGAAAGAAGCCCTTTATCATACAGAAAGAGGTTACCCGTACCTTCAGTTCACTCATGCAGACACCATTTGACCTCCTGTCCATCTCTGAAATGCCTGAATGTTCCACTTGCTGCAAATGCAGATGAACAGGTAATCTCATCTTGATGCAAGCCTGGTTGCAGTGTTTGTCTTGTCCACGCACAGTTCCTCTTCCTGTGCTCCTGTAAAGCACCTGAGATCAAACTCTTCCCTTTACATAGAAAGTCCAACTTCCTCCTGTCTTCAGAAGGCTTCTATCTAAAATCACAACATTTCTGAAACATGAGGAAATCACACCAAATAAATTTTTTTGTATCTTTGATATTTATTTGGGTATAATTATAATTTTTCACTAGTAGAGGCATTTTGGGGATAACAAGTGTTTATAAATTAGTGATAAATGTTCGTGAAATGAGGTGCTGGAATTTTGGATAAAAATCATGGCCAGTCAGACCAAGACATGGTTACTAAAGAACAACAATCAATTTGTATAATACAGCACATTTTTTTATAATGTATCTTTACATATTGCAGCCCCTTAAATCATAAACTCCTCAAAAGTCCTTTCCAGATGTCTTTTTACCTCCTTGATATGTCTGATTTCTTCACCAAAGTTTTAAGTAATCCACAGCCAAACATAAATCAATAATCTTTAAGGAGAATATCTTCAGGAAATCTCCTTTTAAAGGAGTAATACAGTAGCTTGTCATTAAATATAGCAAATTATTAATTTGTTTGTTTATTCCTTTACCTATTCTGAATTGTCTAAGCGTAATTTTTAATTCTTTTTTCCCTGTATCTACTTTGTAGACATTCTTTCCACTTCAAAATACCTGTCTTAGTCATAAAGCATAAAAGAGCTATAAAAGCTGACTTTAAGTGGTGTCCTTAAATCCCTTAGGGACCATCCAGCATTCAGCAGATTAAAGTAGTAGTTTTTCAATGACATCTAAGTGTGAAAACTCAGTAAAAAAAAACCCTGCTGGATACTATGGTAGACAAACAAGTCTTTTAAAAGACAGCTCTTGCAGAACACAAGTCACTACCTGGGTATTAATATATGTCTCAAGTCTTTCTTCATATGTTAAACGGAAGTGTCTGGGATAAAAAAAGTCTGCTTGTGCTACTTCATAATTTACACTACACAGTACCAAACTTGGCTAATGCTTTGTCATCTCCCAACTGTACCTGTTGCTGTGTGAAGGCCTTTCTAATGGAAAACAAATCATTCTCCCTTAAAATTCATTGCAAAGTTACCAGCTTTAAAAACAGCATCTGTAATATGCTGTGGTGACTGGATATTGTGCAGCAGCTCTAACATTTCAACAAAACTATTAACTGTTTACAGATAATGAGTTATAAATGTTCTTTTGCCAATAAACATAAAATGCTCATGACGATGAAAACAAAATTATAATCCAATAAAGTGGTGTAGGTAAACTTAATAGTAATAAAAATATGTAGGAAACCTGAAGAATTATATTCTGTGACACAATATCCCAATAACTATTCTTCCATGACTGCAATGCAATCAACAGGGCTTTGTCTGTGGGCAGGCTCCTAGGAGGCTTAAAGTGTTGGAGGAAAGAGCCTCATGGGTTAGCAAAAGCCTCATGAACTTCAGAATCAAACTTAAGAAGAGATACCTGAGGAAATGAGACTTTGAAGTTGACCTTTCTTAGTTATTATTTCTAGAGAAAGAAATGATGGGACTGTTTCACTCTTCCTGCTCAGGCAAAAAGAAGAAAATAGAGATGGGTTCTTTGTGCATGCAAAGTAAGTGAGAAGAATTCTTGTGAGGCAAGTTAAAGGAAAAGCAAAATAAAATTATTTTTCATACCATCGAGACTAACTGAATTGGGAAGGGAAATGCTGAAGGAAAGGAAATTGTAAAAGTCTGAGCTGTATTTTATCAAGAGCTACAATGTAATCTGCTTTAAGAGATCTGCTGAAGACCAGTCCAATGTGCAAGAATTAATATATGCTCTCACTCAACATTTCAGTAATAATTTGAGACACCATGCAAGTTGGAAGGGATAGAACATATCTTAAATAAACTTAACTTGAATATCCTTTATCAAAATATTGTGAATTTATTGAGCTGAGAAGCTCCTTTAAGGCTATTTAACCCCTGTTAAAATTTCTAGTTGTCTCCCACATTATTCCAATACTTAAACAATCACAGTTGCTTCTAAATTGAAAAATACAGCAAACTACATGCCAAAATACACCAGATAAAGTGATTGCTTATATCTGAAACATGTAGAGGGAATTTTATTCTCAAAGGCACTTCGAAGGCACCTGACTATCTTACTGACACTACAAATTTACTTGATCATTTTTATTATAGCATACTAACATGGGATTTGCTGGCAATTAATAAGGGTTTGAATCATCTCTAGGCCCTTTCTGGGCAAGTTTTGGTTTCTGTATAAAAAAAGAATCTAATTATATGGATTCTCTATTTGATTTAACTACACGTTACTTTTTATGTCTTGGTAAGTTATCCCACTGTCTCCAGAAAACTCCCTGTAATTCTCCACCACGGTCTTTTGGAATAACTTTTGTTGCTGCTATTTCATCTTACTCGAGCCCTATCTTCTGCTGCAAAAGGATGGGACACACAGACCTGTATCCTGTCCTGTGCAGTCTTAAGAAAGTTTGCAAAGGAAAAAGGAGATATAGTAAACACCCTGGATGCTCAGGCACCACAGGAGCACTGGTGGTCCCCTGCCTGTCCTTGCTGCCCTGCAGGAGCAGGGGGCTTGCTGTGCTGTTTGCACCCACCTGCAGCTCCAAAAGCCCCTAATTTATCCCCTTCTTGAGCCAATGGCTAAGCCAGCCTAAGGGAACCAGGGAGAATTTCTCAGATGATTCAGAAAAGCTAAGGAAAGGATTATGGCTTTACATATATTATAAATGCTTACGCCTTCATACCTTCAAACTATCTGCAAAGGGTATTATGTAGTTGAGGTTTGCCTGTTATTGACTTCTCTCCAGTGCATGAAGAAGTTTCTGTAAACAAAAATGTTTCTTCCTCAGAATTCTGTGCCTCAGAAATAAGAGGTGCATTGAATCTAATCTCCTCAGGTTTGAGGAGAGATAGGAGACTCAGAAATGCTCGTTAGCTCTCACACTTTATAGAAAGAAATATGATGTTATGTATTGAAGCTAAGGAAAAAATCATTTCTCTAAGCTAAGAAGGAATTCACCAGAACAAAACATATCAGGAAAGCAACCAAAATCAAAATCAAATAAAAAACAACCCCCACAACCTTAAACAAACAAACAAACCCCCAATTCCTAAACAAATGGAATTTAAACAAATCAATTTTGGAAAAGCTTGAAGCTGTAAAAAATTGGAAAATATCTGGAAAAGCCAGACACTAAGGAAAAATTTCTTTCAACTAATCTACAGAAAAATTCACTAGGATGAAATGTGTTAGGACAAAAACTAAAGCAAACAAAAAGACCTTAACCAAATGGAATTTAAACAAACTGGTTTTAGTAAAAGCTATTTCTTCTCAATTGCTCAGCAAGTTTGCTTTGAGAAAGTTCAAGTTCAATAGTTCTCTGTTCATCTGACTTTCTGGTATGAGAAAAAAAAGCACAAAACTGAAATATTTTTCTTTTGATCAAACTCTCCTTGCCTTGTACATGCATTACAAAGAGCTGAAACACAATAACAACTGCCTTTATCCTGAACAAGTCACCTTGAGAGGTACAATCTAACCCTGAATTTATTTATGGTGACTATGAAATATGACTATGAAAGGGAAATATAGTACTGAAGAATGAATATGAAATACATTTTAGTTGAAGTAGTTCATTATTACATAACCTCTCCTTTGTTATGTAGCCTCTTGTAACCTGATAGAAGACTACAAGAACAAAAGGGAGGCACTTTAAGTATAGGAAGATTTTCTAAAAGTCAACTGCAACAAGAGCTCTCTGTCAAGTATGAAGTCTAATCCACTACAGCCACCTCTTCCAAAATCTCTGTAGCATGGCTTTCAAATAAAAAGCACATCTAAGTATTAATCTTCTAGGGAAGAAAAAGGTATAGAAGAAGAGCAACTCGCAAAACAGAGACCTGTTTTTTCATTAATTTTAAAGAATCTCCTTCTTCATGCAGCCATGTGTCAGAGCGAAGCATTCCCAGGTGAGAGCTAGACCTCTGCAGCATCAGCTACACAGGGGGAGAAATTAAATCAAGGGTCCATTTATTCAGAGATTTCATGAGGATGTGAGTTGCCATAGGAAATAGCAATGACTTTTCCTAAATACATGTATACTTATTATAAATTGTTGACAAATAATACAGGTACTGATATTCACATTCTGCTGCATTGTGTGTGAGATAACTTCGAATTACTCCCTAATTATCTAAATAATGGCAACTACTTAGACTGAATTTCTGGTTTGCAAAGAGGGAAACAGTCCAAGAAATGAAAATATAATTTACAAAATTTACAAAAATCCAAGTGCCTGTTAAATATTTTTATGCTTTAAAGAGTTGCATGAACAGGTAGGATGGAAAATTTATACAGGCTTTCTTTTTCATTATTTTTCTAAATATCAATGATGATTTCTTTAAAAATAATCCTTATAGAATCAGTGATCTCTCTCATGGAAGACTTTTCTAACTTTGGCCACAGGTGCTTCCTATGAATGAGAAACTTTGTTTTCATGCTTGTGTATACGTGGTTTGTGCAATCTCCATTTTTAACCCTAATTTAACATTTTACTGAAATTATCATGTTTCTGGCTTGGCAGGAAACATGTCTGTTGTGCTTTTTGATGAACAGCTTTTTAATACAGATGTATCAATAAATTATGTTCCTTTATGTAGTCAGATTTTCTCAAATGATAAAAGAAAATTATGAGCATCTTTAAAGGTATGTCAGGCTATGAGGCAGTTTGGATCAAAAACAAAAAAATTTTCTAAGATTTTATCTTTAAAATGCATTCCAAATATTTAAATATACAAATAATATACCAACTTTCTAAGCGGTTTTTTTGTAATTTGTTATAAAAATAGTGTGAGTCATTATCCTGAAGTATTCTTCTTGGATTATTTCTCTCCTTCGAATTACTTCCCATTTAAAGTAGTTATTTTCTTAGATGCTTTGCATATTTTCATCTTCTTTGATTCTCTATGGTACTGTACGTTACAACACATGTGGTTTCCACAGCTTTTTGCTCTTTCAATTAAACTTTTTTTTGAGGGGGAGGGAGGAGGTAGAGGAAGGGAATTCACTGAGATATCATTTCAAACAAACACCCAAGTTATTTTATGGCCTCAATATTGCTTTCCATTTTAATAGCTTTTATGCAAAATGGAAAAATATAAGCAATAATGGTCCTTGAATGTTGGATAATGCCTTCAGGCTTAACTGTCAGCACTGTTCCTGGATTAGGTAGATTGTAAACAATTCTTGGCATAAATCCTAGGAAAAAATTCATTATCTTTCCTGCAATAAGACCACTCTATGGACTACTGCAATGGGAGAACAGAGCAATGGCCTCACTCTCGCTGCATGCCATCCTTCTTCCTTTGGGGCTGCAGTTAAGCTTATGAATGAGCTGGTCAGATAGCAGAGAGACAACCATGGACCTTCCATTCCTGCACCTGCACCATGAGAAGATCTACCCTCACAGCCCACTTGGGCAAAAAAATGCTTTGCGAGGAGCTCCATTATTTTGAATGAGATTACCTGGGGAGAGTAACCACCATATGGGCAAAATAGCAAATCAGACCTAAAATGAGTACCAAAGGGGTTTGCCTCAACAGAATCCTGTTCTGGTTTTGGGTCACTACAAGTTTCACTCGAATGTAAGCGTAGCTCCTGCCTTCCCCTGGCAAGTGTTCCAGCCACTGCTGCCAGAGTGTGAAATTGAGAGGGAGCCTCTGAAATTCAGCAGGATGGGAATATGGCCCACACCAGCCTCCTTCAGCTGTAATCTGAAATCAAAATCTTCCAAAATCAAATGCTATGATTTTCCTCAGGGAATAGACCGGAAGCAGACTTGTATCATCTGAATGGTAATTCCTTCTAGTACAGGTATATAATTCTGATATGCAGTGACCTATTACCCCACTGAAAAAATCTTCAGAGATTGTCATCAATAAACGAACTTGCAAATTATACCATTAGTCATTGTGAATATTATATCTATCATCTATTAATTAGAGATTCAAAACTTATAAGATTGCTTTGCCATTGATCAAGATAAGTTCTGATGGAGACATGAATACTCTGAATGGTAGTATTCAATCTATGATTGCATCTCATAGCACAATGAAAAAATTAATCATTACTGAAAAATGTAATTGAATGCAAGGATATAATAGTCAATTGATACTTGAGCAGGTGTAAGGGATTCAGGAATAATTACTACTGTGAGAAATGAAATGCCAACATACATAAAAAAATAAATGTCAGAAGTAGTTCTTGTATGTGGAAAGGGAATAGTTTAATCACTTTTATAAAAAAAAATCAGTCAATAAAAACAGGTAGAAACTCTAAACGGAAAAGAACAAGGTATGTAATGGGAGCTAGTGAGGGAAGTCAAGCTGAGATATACTTCTTGTCATAACCCAAATACACTGCTGTATCACTCATAGCAGATTCTCATTTAATTGTGGTTATTCCTTTAGCTTTGATGATCACTATTTCATCAACAGTGAAATAATTAAAACAATATGGTTATGTGCATCATGCTCAAAGGTCTTGAAAGTTTTGCCGTTATTATAACTTAACAACAAAGCAACCACACTTTGGACATAAATACTTAGGCTTCAGCAACAAGTGTGATGTGTGAGTAGTGAAAAAGGCAATAATTTCAAGTGGTCAGCTCTTTATGGTATTGTGATTAGCTCAAAATAAATATAAATAATCTGTTTACCATTAATTCTCTACAAAACTGAATGGACAATTTGAAAATTTTCATTGTGAAAATGGAGGATGGGTAGCAGGCAAAACATTGATTCAGTCGCAGGATCTTAACGTTAAAAGGACTATTTCATATAGTTGTAGACTCATAGACATAAGACATCAAAGTATAATAAGAGGTCCAATCACGCAATAGAGAAGAAACAACTAAAGACATGAAACATGGGAAAAGCCTTTTCACACATTGGCTTTTCTGTGCTAGACCAACACCAAAACAAGATGTAGGAAAATGAGGTGTAGCTTCAATTCTAGCTTGTGTCCTACCGCAGGAAACAGTCCTTATTAGAGGGCAGAGTTTTTATCATTAATAAGAGCTATAGCTTTACAACTTTGCAAGGTACTTTTAAATATCCATCCTTGCCTTACAACCTGCAAAACTTAGTTCTGTTTGATTCATAATAGTGCAGCACTGCATAAATCTCAGTTTGCTCTTATTTTACGATTTCCTCTTTCCCATATCCAAATAACTATAGTTAAAAATAAGTATTTGTAGCCTAGCAGAGGAAACAAACCCTCTTCCTTGCTCAAATTACTTAAATTGTCTTATTTGGAGTACCAATTAAATGATTAACTGATTTTTCCACAACACTCTAAAATGACACTTCTCAGAAGTGATCTGTTGAGTCAGATTGTCTGCAGATTCAGGGAGTGCTGTATCTTTTGATGTTGGGCATAATTCAGAGCCTTTCTTTGTAACTGTAAGGAATAGAAATTGTTGCCCAAAGGCAAAATGAGATATCAGCATACAAGGTAAGATACAGGGCAATAGTGATGGGCTGTCTACTGTGCTGACTGTTGTGGGAATGCAAGACATACAGCTAATTTTTCTTAATCTCCTTAATATAGGAAAAAAGTACCTGTAGAATTAATAAAAATCCTAGCACCCCAAACAGTAAGGTTCTCCTACATGCTGGTAATGCTGGAAAAGTTACACTCCTTCTTGCTGCACTTTTACATGTAATGTCCCACACATAAATTGCCCCCAGAGTTCAATGGATCTGCTGACAAAAGGGAAGTTACTCCTCCCTCTAGATGGATATGGGCTATGGAGTTTAGACAGCCAACTCTGCTTTTCTGACTGACTAATCAAGTAGGCTATGGGAGCATGCCACTGAATATGAAGAGAACTCAGTTAATAAGGAAAGTGGTGACAGGCAGGAAAGATGTGTCGTGTGAAAAATACCATAAAAGTTTGACATTTACAAAAAGTTTAAATTACAAACAAAAGTATATGCTAATAAGAAGTTGGAGGATAAACTTGGGATACAAAAGTAGCTTCAAAATGAATCAGGCCAGGATTTCGTCCAGGGATTTGAACATCAACAGACCAGGCAAAGCTTAAAGATGCGAGTTCACAACTATGCTAAGCTCTTCCCTCACCTCTGGATATTCATTCCCATTCCTTCCATTTGGCTAGCACTTGCTTTCTGTGTCAGCTCAACTGTTCAAATTCCAGAGCTTATACAGTTATAAATAAATAAATAAATAAATAAATCAGCATTTAGCATCACTAGTAGTGTTTCAACATTTTATACTATTATATTTACTAAAGTAGGAAAGTTCCTCACTTTCACTCAAGCCAACAGTCTCTTTGGCTCAAGAGACATTAGCTATTCTGCTCTAGCTACTTTAAAATATGATCCAAGCAACAGTTTTTAGTGATTCACAAATTATAACACAAATATAGTTGCCATAAAGCTGTGGTTTAGACCCATAGCTTGTGCAGAACATTTCTCTAATGCATGGTTCATTAATATCAGGTGGAATCCTGGTTTTTGCCTTGTTTCCTCCTCTAAGGATCCTAAACAACATTATCTCGTGGTCAGTGCACCCAAGGCTTGCATATTCCCAGCCAGTCAATACTTGTTTGTAAGTATGAGCTGCAGCACTGTGCCACCCCTTCTTGACTTCATGACCTGTGCCAGGAAGTCGTCATCAATGCACTTCAGAAGCCTCCTATATTTTCCCAGGGTTTTCTCCAA